GAGAATACAAGAGGAGTCTTTTCTCTCATGAAAGCGGTGTGGGTTTTTCTGTTCAGGACAAGATCAGACATGCTTTATCAACATTAGAATGATGAACTATGAAATCATAGTTTAAGTGAAAGACAAAGAATATCTGTTTTGTTAAATGTATCATTTTGATTATGTTGGGAATATCCTATCGCTTATTTCAGCATTTGTTTATTTCCTTCTTTGTGCAGAACTCACAGCTCATGAATAAAAAACTGCAGAACTTGTTTTGTTTGAGAGAATCACTGTTAACACCATTTAGTTGGAAATATTGCTGATGGTTATAAAGATGAAGCAACATCAGATTCCTGTAACACTTCAACATCTGGATATGTTCACTCTGTGCTTGAGCCAAACATTAAATAAAGAGACCTGACTTTACACTGAGTTGTTGGTATTTATTTTAAGAAATTGTTTTATATTATGTTATAGTTTTAATTATGTTGTTTTGTGAAATCTAAATTCATATTAAACTTCCAAGGTTCTTTGACTGCAACACTTTTCCCATAGAAACATCTTTTATGGAAAGTTGCAAAGAGGACTTCTTGGTCAACAATATTATTATTCTTGTTACATTTTATAAACACAAATCTATGCATATGAAAGTGAATCTTAGGTTCTGTGTATATCATAATACGCTTATTTCCTTATCAAGAAGAACTCCCCCTCCTGCACAAGATGCACCTGGATTCCAAGGACACGCTTTGCACCTGGATTACCAGGACACAGTAGATATTCATCTTTCTGATTGATGGTGTCAGTGGTTGAATTGAGTCATGATGGGAGTGTTGGCATCTCATTGGACTGCCTGAGGGTTAGGGTGTGTCATGGGAATTATGATTATCAGAGAATTGAATGCTATGATGTTGTTTAACATGTAAATAATAATATTCTGTAAGCCTTACATGTCAAGAGACAGTAGATCTCAGCACTCAGGTAGATGATCTGTCACAAGGTGCCATGTGACCACACAGTGGGTGATCAGCGGTCTGATCATGGGTCTATTGTACTCTGATAGGGTCAGGGGCCTTTACTGGGGGAAACACCAGAGGGAATACAGAAACAGATTCCTACCTATTTCTGGTTATTAGAATAAAGATCATTAAACAAATGACAAGGCATTTACTAAAAGACAATAACTTAGTAAACTCACAATGGAAGAACTTAAATGAAATGTATGAAATGGAGAAACTCTGACAATTAGAAACCAGATGCATATCTTTGAGGAAAGGTGGGAGAAATGGGTCGAGTATAGAACAGTATAATGAAGATAATTCATGTATACCTGAGCATTAATCATGTATTCATTCTTTGATTTGGAATATTATTATTACTATTATTTCTTTTCGTATATGTCATCTGTTATGTAGTTTCATCACACACACACACACACACACACACACACACACATACACACACACACACACACACACACACACACACATCACACACACACAAACACACACACACACACACACACACACACACACACACACACACACACACACACACACACACACACACACATACACACACACACACACACACACACACACACACACACACACACACACACACACACACACACACACGAAGAACTCCCCCTCCTGCACAAGATGCACCTGGATTCCAAGGAAACAGTAGATATTATTATTTCTGATTGATGGTGTCAGTGGTTGAATTGAGTCATGATGGGAGTTTTGGCATCTCATTGGACTGCCTGAGGGTTAGGGTGTGTCATGTGTCAATTGAATGCTATGATGTTATTTAAAACTCCTGTAGTAAAACCAATACAAGTTTATAAGATCTGAGTACTTCTACTTTCTAATTTTCTGTATGTATAACACATGTGGAATTCTTGACAATAAAATTGACTTTGACTTTGACTTGACTAAAGGGCCAAAGCATCACACTTCAAGTGCTCCTCCACACAATATATAGTTCAATGCTATTCGGTAATATGATTTCCTTCATCCCCGTATAACTCTCTCATTATCCCATACATCCCCGTTGTCATCAAGTAAGGAAAGAAACTCCGTGCATCAAACTGCTTAATACTGTTGTTCTTCTGGGGGTTTTATCGGCTCGGTATTCCCCTCCCGGATGATACTCCCGCACAACGGGGTCTAATCACCAAACACCATCACATTCATCAGTGTATTTCTTGGCAATAAATATATATTGTTACATCAAAAACATGTCTCTACTGAATGAAATTGGAATTGGGGTTTGTATATATAAATGATTGTATGTATGGAACTATTAACAGAGCTTTCCCTGTAAATCTGTGGAGTCTCACTGCACAGGTTTAATGTCTGGACATGGCTTTAGCTCCACGTTCACACTGTTCCATAGTCTCACTATTTATATTTGTTATACTCATCCTCTGCACTTCTGCAGTTCTTTGTTTAATGAAGTCCCTATATAGTGTATTTTTCTTTTTGCAGGCATTTTGTAATCCCTTTGTGATCCATGGACAATGAATATATTTGTGTTTTCTGCTGTATTCTTTAATTGGGCAGTTGTTGTCATATAATGACCTACAAAAATTAGAAAGGTTTCATAAGCAGTATTGATGTCTCTTTCTTGGTAACGTTTGTCCCAATTCTGTTCCAGAAATTCATTTGTCAGTGCGTTGATGGATTCCTCTGATCACATCCGTCTGTATCCTTTTTCTTTGTCTGGCTTATTTTTCCTGTAGTTGCTATCATAGACTGTGAACACTGGCAAGTGATCACTGATATCATTGATTAATAACCCACTTACAGTGGTGTTTTCAATGTGATTGTTAAATATATTATCTATTAGGGTGGCACAATGGGATGTCACTCTACTGGGTCTAGTTATTTTCGGAAATAGGCTCAGACTATACATTGTATTGATAAATTCATCAGTAGTTTTGTGCTTGTTAGGATTAAGCAGGTTCATATTAAAATCTCCACATATGAAAATAGCTTTGTTATTTATTTTAGAAAACATGCCCTCCATCCAGTCTGTGAAAGTTTCAATGCTTGACCCTGGTGTTCCCGGTATTACCGAAATACCGGTTTCTGGCGGCTACGGTATACCGTACCGAAATCAGATCCGGTTTTCGATACTTTTATTTTTTTATTTTTTTTATAAAAGTGAGGCGTAATATCCTTAAACTTGCGCCCAAACCCTCGGAATTAAGATGACTATTTCGCCGTGAAACTCCGCAAATGAGTCACTTTAGAAAATCTAAAGTGTGGCTGCATATGACTGCCAGTCTGAATGGTGGGGTCTGTAACCACTGCCAGTCTGAATGGTGGGGTCTGTAACCACTGCCAGTCTGAATGGTGGGGTCTGTAACCACTGCCAGTCTGAAAGGTGGGGTCTGTAACCACTGCAAGTCTGAATGGTGGGGTCTGTAACCACTGCCAGTCTGAATGGTGGGGTCTGTAACCACTGCCAGTCTGAAAGGTGGGGTCTGTAACCACTGCCAGTCTGAAAGGTGGGGTCTGTAACCACTGCCAGTCTGAATGGTGGGGTCTGTAACCACTGCCAGTCTTCCACTTCCACTTCCCAGTGGGAAAGGTGGCAACACATCCAACATCCAACCAATGCTGTCTCGTATGGCAACCAAGTATCTTTGTGTTCAGGGAAGCAGCGTGCCAAGCGAGAGAGTGTTCAGTTCAGCAGGTGATACCCTACGCTGTGAAAGGGCCCATTTGGATCCAGAGAGCAGATATGCTCATCTTCTTGAAGATGAATGCACAAAACTGAACTGTGATGGGATTAGTTTTCTTTCATCAGGCAAATGTTGATTTTAATGATGCTATTTTTTTTATGTGCAATGCCGAGATCTCATGATCCTTTATGTGTTCTCTGGTCAGTCGAATCTCAGGTTGAATATTGATTATACTGGTGCTGTTTTCTTTTTCCATTGACAAGATGTACTATTCCCACCTGATGGTTGATATAAATGATATTGCAGAATCAGTTTTCTTCATAGATAACGTGTTTTTCATTGTTTGTTCAGTACTAAAAGGTCCAAGTCCCACAATTGAATTTAATATTCATTTGACATGTTAACTACATCTTTATTGTCGGGCAGTGGCGATTCTAGAGTCTGTGGGGGCCCTAGGGAACCAAACATTCACTGGGGGCCCCTCGAACCAGCCCCCCCCCCCCCGGAGAAACTATTTGTTGCTTAGACTGAACTCGAAGGAAGCTCGACTGGAGAATTTAAAATCAATCAAAACAACTGTACATTAATGAAATACATTTGACATTTAGCTTGAGCTGGCTTTAATTGACTTTCTTCATGGTATTCAAATTGGGCTCAAGTAGAACCTTTACCCATGTGTTTAGCTAGTTCTGAAAGAAGAATCAACATTGTGCATAACAAGAGAAAGCACTATAACACCTCTATCAGCTGACGCCAGCAGGCAGGAGCAGGGAGACAAAGAGAGCACAGCAGACAAAGGTTGCAGGCTACTCTGAGAAATATAAAATACAAATCATATACTGGTTTATGTTTACCACATCATTCCACATTATGGTCTTTCATAGTTTTGATGTCTTCGGTATTAATCTACAATGTACAAAATAATCTAAATAAATCAAAACCTTCGAATGAGAAGCTGTGTCCAAACTTTTGACTGTGGGTGTGTGTGTGTGTGTGTGTGTGTGTGTGTGTGTGTGTGTGTGCGTGTTTGTGTGTGTGTGTGTGTGTGTGTGTGTGTGTGTGTGTGTGCGTGTTTGTGTGTGTGTGTGTGTGTGTGTGTGTGTGTGTGTGTGTGTGTGTGTGTGTGTGTGTGTGTGTGTGTGTGTGTGTGTGTGTGTGTGTGTGTGTGTGTGGGTGGGTGACTTCCACAGAACTGACACAAACACTCACACCCATAAACACACTTGATGCGGGGACTCATTTGGCTTTGGGGATTGTTTTGGCATGAATTCAGTATCATTTCCCGTGGAATATTCCTCCTCCCAGGTAACGATTGCACAATGCCCCACAGCATCTCAGTTCTCTATATATATGCAGCTGACCTGTGGTCAGTACAACAGACTTCAGCACACCAGTTGACTTCTTACTGCCTATCATTCGCTGTCAGCACACACACGTAAGTCTTCAACAAGGTCTTATTTTCTTGCTGTAATTTCTTTTTTGAATTTCACAAACATTGTAATCAATACTTTTCAGAACTCTGTGTAGTATACATTTTATTTGAATTTGTTTTAGATGTCATTGTTGTTTTCAAAATGTAACTCCTGATGGTTGAATTTGTCAGGATTATAATCTAGCTCAGCTGAAAAGTCAGATTGATTCAGTTAACTACAATTGTGATTACTCATGATGTGTCTTTCTTTAATGCAGGAACCCACAATGAGCTGCTACATCTCAGAGCTTGATGTGTCCCTGAATGAAGCTGAGGAGGGAGAGCTTACAAATAGAGGCTTCAAGAAAATCAATATTGATCTGAACAAAGGATCAGGAGGAAATTTCATCTATCTTTGGTACAAAAATGGATCAGAGGCGATCACCAAGGTTCAAGTTTCCTTCAATGATGAGATGGCTGATGGTTTGACCAAAGCATGCTACACAAAGATCGACAAAGATCTCAATGCTGGAGCAGGAGGTAGTCCCCTCTACCTTTGGTTCTTCAAAGGGTCCGGAGAGTTTGATACTCCCATAGTGGACATTAGTGTCACTACAGATGCAGCCAATGAAGCTGAAAAGTTTGCAAGTGGTTGGCAGAGAGTGGCCTGTGATCTGAACCGCGGGGCTGGGGGGAACTGGATCCACTTGTGGCTGAAGAGAGAGAAACAAACCTACATCTGTGATGTCGATGCCACTGATTCCTACGGATCAGACATGGACCTCTTTCAGAATGGCTACATCCGTGTGGATGAAGATACTAACAGAGGTGCAGGAGGAGCCTATGTCTTCATCTGGTACCGTCAGACCACCGACCCCGAGAAGGCACTCGAAAATCTGCAAGTCTCCATCACTGAGGATCAGTATCTGGAATATCAGCAGCAAAATTACCAGTCAGTGGATGTTGACCTGAACAAAGGGACCGGAGGTAACAAAGTGATCCTGTGGTACAAGAAAAGATCCAACCCAATAAAGGCCATCGGCCTGCTTGTCAACCAAGATGCGGTTAAAGAATATCCGGAGGCTGGTATCAAACTTATCATGGGCAATCTCAACGCGGGCAACAAGGGCAACGTTGAGCACCTGTATTTCTATCAGTAAAGTCAGAGCTGAGAGTTCTCAACACTCACTGAAGTGGAACGCATCTTACCATTTTGTTAAATCATTCGGTGATGGCCACTTTCTTTTCCTTTTTAAATCAGTGCTACTAGTAATAATACAAAGTATGAATATATCATGCGTTCTTCTGTTAATCTCCCTGTCAATGAAATCAAACTATTCCAAATGTCTGTTTTTCAAATATAATCTGAACGAATGATTAAATCTTAAGGCACTGTTTCACTTATTCTGCACATGTCTGCTCTCAATAAAGAAACCTTTGCATGTGAAATGTGTTTGTTTTCTTAATCTTATTCCCATCAATGTTATCATTCCAACAAGATAAGATAAGATAAGATAAGATAAGATTAGATAAGATGGTACTTTATTGATCCCAATTTGGGAAATGTTTTGTGTTGCAGCAGCATGAAAGACAAGGCATTTTACAATAAAACAAAACTAGAAATAAACAAGAAAATAAAGAAAATAGAAAATATACATGTTGAATTTGACATGATATTATATATATAAATATATATATACATAAATATATGACATATGGAATATTAATGTTAAATATTGAACAGATTATATATGTGTAAAATGTACTACGTGGTTTTATTCCAAGAGCAGCTATGGAGCAGAGAGTTCTCTTCCAGCCAGAGGTGATTTGTTGTTCAGAGTTACTGCAGTGGGCAGGAATGTTTTCCTGTATCAGGGCCGATGTTAAACAATTTGCCTAAAGTGTCATATTTAGCTTTATAGAGACTAAGAGCAACCGCAGGACGTATAAAGAGGATACGGTACAAGTCCAGAAGTAATGGTTAAAAAAGCAACAAATGACGACTCAAGTGAAGTCTGAAGGCACAGCATGCTTACCTTGGTTTTGGAGATGTATGAGCCAACACTACAATATGTATACCAACACAACTCACACAATAACTTGGTGCAGTTACTTTATAATAATGAGTAGTTTCAAATTGAATTGAATAAAAGGCAACATTTGTTCAATAATTCACTTCCTGTATGGGATCATTGTCACCTTATTGTTACCTACATCTCTGTCATCTGCAAAATACTTGTTACGTTTTTGTTGTGTTTTCCGTAACCTTAGCATAAGCATGTCGATGTAGAACAGATGAGTGGAGATCAAATAATTGCAGATGGACAAGATAATCCTTGTTCTGTGGACAGGATTCAAACCGGGTTTAGAGCTGTACAACAACAGTGTACTCTGTTACAAGTAAAAGTCCTGCATTTACAATCTTACTAAGTAAAAGTACAACATTGTGTGTAATGGCCCATTCTTTTATCATAGATATGTAATCTCTGGATTATTTTATTTATTATGAATGTGTTCGTCACAGCTGGTGAAGGTGGAGCTACTTTGAATTACTGTGTATACTGATGCTATCGTAACAAGACTCAAAGGTGTTCTCATCAGATGCTCAGCAGCTTCAGAGGAGACATGAAACTCTTCTGACCTGAGCTCCTCCATCAATGAAACATATATAATAACATACAAAAATACAAATAGAAGTCTCTATACATGTCAATAGAATATGATATGTACAAGAACAGAATGTGAAATGAAACAATGTACATTAAGACAACATTAAATATACGGTTTATTACGGTGATAAGTATTTAAATAAATAAGTAGATAGCAAGATGACAGAGAAAGTGTGTGTCATTGTGTGTGTGTGTGTGTGTGTGTGTGTGTGTGTGTGTGTGTGTGTGTGTGTGTGTGTGTGTGTGTGTGTGTGTGTGTGTGTGCGTGTGTGCGTGCGTGCGTGTTTGTGTCTGTGTCTGTGTGTGTGTGTGTGTGTGTGTGTGTGTGTGTGTGTGTGTGTGTGTGTGTGTGTGTGTGTGTGTGTGTGTGTGTGTGTGTGTGTGATGAACTACATAACAGATGACATATACGAAAAGAAATAATAGTAATAATAATATTCCAAATCAAAGAATGAATACATGATTAATACTCAGGTAAACATGAATTATCTTCATTATACTGTTCTATACTCGACCCATTTCTCCCACCTTTCCTCAAAGATATGCATCTGGTTTCTAATTCTCAGAGTTTCTCCATTTCATACATTTCATTTCAGTTCTTCCATTGTGAGTTTACTAAGTTATTGTCTTTTAGTAAATGCCTTGTCATTTGTTTAATGATCTTTATTCTAATAACCAGAAATAGGTAGGAATCTGTTTCTGTATTCCCTCTGGTGTTTCCCCCAGTAAAGGGTTAATGGGTTCTTGTTGAGAGAAACACCAAAGAGATTGGACTTTTCAGAGATAGAAAGATATCATTCTAATATTTAAGACTGAACCATTTGAGCTTTTTATTTGTCTTGTCACACAACAGCAGATCGACTAAAAAACAACTTGAAAAATGTGCATTTCAGAGGAAAACCCCACATATGGAGACGTTTGTTTACTAAATGAAAGGGATGCATTTAGAAGAAAGAAAACCTGAGGCGTTGATGTACTCTGGGATTATAATCTCACACATTACTGATGATTTACGAGAATAAAATGATGATCAGGTCAAGTTTCTTTCCATAGTTAAATAATTAAAAGCTTCCTTTACCTCTGAGCTCTGCATCAGATTTCATTATCCAATCCTCTGGCGCCCTCTGGTGTCTGCTGGGTGAACAGCGCATTTATAAATAAAATACAGTAAATACAAGTCTCTATTTTTCTTTATTTCAGGACGTTTTGGACAACCTTGTGTAAGAGTCGGGAGTCATCCGATAATTTATTCCGAACTTAAATTACTCAGACCTCCTAATTGACCTAACCGAAGTTATTGAGTCTATGTAAGTTTACTGCTTGGCTCAGATCCACCAACGATCAGCAAGATCTCACCTCTATTAACTCCTGAAGAACCAGGTTCAATTAACTGCTGTTTCAATTCAGACAACCCCCTAAATCTGTTTAAGCAATCCCGAAGGACTTTGATATCAGTAAATGAGGTGTGGCCCTACCTAAGTGTGAGTGTGGCAGTGTGTGATCTTACCTTCCAAGCAGGAGAGGAGAGCGCAGATGTCTTTTAAGTTGTCCCAATCCAAAAGGTGGGATCAGTTTATTTGAAGAAAAATTGGTCCAAACTAATACAGGGTTTTTACCTTCTCTGGTTACAACATTATAATCGTACTAAACATATCATGCTGGGGTTCTTTTCTAATCCAAAACCTTAATTCATAGTTCACCCATTAAAGAATTCCAACACATTTAAAGAATGGTAGGTATAAGAATTCCAACACATTTAAAGAATGGTAGGGGTAAGAATTCCAACACATTTAAAGAATGGTAGGGGTAAGAATTCCAACACATTTAAAGAATGGTAGGGGTAAGAATTCCAACACATTTAAAGAATGGTAGGGGTAAGAATTCCAACACATTTAAAGAATGGTAGGTATAAAAGATCCCGTTCACAACTCTCATCTAAACCATTCCCTCAGCATTCAATACACAGAGATTTACGCAATAGTTACCAAGTTTGAGAGAACCTTACCGAGAGCAAAGACCCAGCTCTCAGGGAGAGAGCGTTACCGAGAGAGAGCATACCATGCGAACCCCCCCCCCCCCCTCTCTCTCTCTCTCCAAAAAGAAGGTTCCTCCCCATCTGCCAGTGTCTTTATGCTCGAAAACAGGATAGAAAAACCTAAAGACACCTCCTCCATACCCATATTTGTGGAAACTGGGCATGGCCTCTGATGTAAAGAACTGGACATGACCAGACATATTCTATGGCTCTAGCATAAGACACACCTTCCCATGTTTGTGTAAAAAGGACATGACCCCTACTCTGCAGGACTTGCAAAATATTATTCTCGGCTATGACATAACCACCTTTTTGGGGCCTCAATGTATTTCTCCTTAAGTCAGGAGCCCCCCTCCCTGTGTACTGCTGTGAGGGGAGAGAGAAGAAACTGCCTCTTCTCTTATCAGTGACACCCATAAACCATTACAGGCCTTACACACTCAACTTAACAAACCACTTGTGTTTTGTTTATACTGTAAATATAGAACATCATAAAATATGAAGCATTTTCATTGTGGGTTATACAAGAATATAATTGATTATATTTGATTATAACTAACTTTCGTTTTAATTATTCAACCTGATATGGAGATCTCAACACCCTCTTTTTAAAATGCAAAGTTATCAAAACAGCAACAGATAAAATTGTAAACATACATACAAATTACATACGTAAAACTTCAAGAATCAACATCATGAAAAGTTCTTCAGTATGTGTAATAAGGATTTTCTCCGCTGAGTCCAAACTGGCGTCCACCGAAAACATAGTACCTCACTGGAATGTTCTTGTTGTCACATAGGTCAGGCACCAGAGTAAAACGAGCCCTTGGGCCGACACGATGATGGTAGATTTGTGTGCGTACTCCCACTCCGCCTGGTACTTGCAGGAACGGGGGGCCCATCTGTTGTTCCAGTGTAGACTCCTCAATCCATGTTGCTATCTGATGTAACTCCTTGACCCTGACCATGGAGGGGTTGAGGTTCCTCCCTGGATTAGACCTCCAAACGAAAGGCCAGACATCTCGGTCGACAGTTGTTATGGATATTTTAGACCTCGTCAATAATCGTTCACGGTTGCGTTGTCGTCTTTCCAGGTGAGCCCTCATCACGAGGCGGAGAGGCTCCATCTGTCGGTGTGTGTAGATTCACTTGGTTGACTTTGTGACAAGGTCAATGAGACCCCACTCAATGATAGCACAAACGAGGAACCAGAGGCATATGAAACAGCTCAGCTGGCACTCGCTCATGACATCCTGTGTGTGCAGTGTGAGATTAGGTGTATGTGGTGCGAGTGTGGTGCTGGTGGTGACTTGGCACGTCACTTGTTGTCGTCTGTTTCTACCGTCTCTCCTGGCCTGTGACTACGACTTTGCAGTGACTGGCGTGGACCCACGTGGCTCTCTCGGCGAACTTGACCGCTGTCTTTGTGACGAGAAGCACCTGGTAAGGACCTTGCCAACGGTTGGATTTCCAGCTCTTTCTCCGGAAGTCCTTCTTGGGAAATCCACTGCGACCTGAGTGGCTTAGCGGGTAGAGATGCAGCCTGCCCCACATAGCTGGAAGAAACATCATCCTCCACTGGCAGGGGTACGGGTGACTCAGCCGCTGGCTCCATGCTGCACAGGTTTCCTGGGTCCAGGAGTTGGCTTCACTGGAGGCACTGTGACTGAAGTAATCCCGCCAGGCAGGTTCAAATCTTCTTGGTAGATCCCTGAGGTAATAAACTCTTCCATATCGCTATAATT